TTACTTCTTGTTTCCGAAAAAATCCGCCTTAACTTTTTTCGAATTATCTACTAACTTGATTTCAAAAAAGATTTGTTTTCCAAAAAAAAGTATTTACTTGGCTTCAAAAATTCTACTAACTTGATGTCAAGAAAAAAGACATATTTTCCAATTTACTTGTTTCCAAAAAGAAAATCTACTTATTTTCAAAAAAAGAAAATCTACTTGCTTTCAAAAAAAGAAAATCTACTTGTTTACAAAAAACCCTGTTTTTTAAATATTGTTTTGTCTCACTTTTTCAATGAGTAAATCTAATTATTTTCAAGAAAGAAATTCTACTTGTTTGCAAAAAAAGTCTGATTACTTGTTTTTGAAAAAATGTTGGCGGTTCGTCTATTGATGTCGTATTTGTGTTTTTTTTATCTTGTCGAATTTTGAAAAGATTCAAGCTGAAAGTGCTGTGCTTTCCAAGTTGACGTTTGAGCTTTGAACTTCAAAGTTCGAAGTCGAACTTCAAAGTTCGAAGTTCAAAGCTCGAAGTTCGAAGTTCGAAGTCGAACTTCATGAGCCATGCAAGTTCTCAGTCGTAAACGGCTGTTTTCATAATAAGGCTAAAAGGATTACATAATAGCTATTTGGCGCTGAGAGGTAATTTGTAGAGAACAGAAGGATTAGGAACAAGGAACATAGATAGTAGTATCAGTTATGGAAACTTTTTTTCGTATATATAGTTGTTGTTCTTTAGATCCTTGTTGTTCTTTTTCCTTCACTTACATACACTTTTTTCAAATAAAATGTTTGTCATTTTGGATCAGGGATTGGATCACAAGCCAAAATGCGAAATTCATTCGCAAATTCGATTGCATCGGATATGATTGGGTCGCAAGATGATCACCGATTTTGTATCGGGCGCGAGATTGCATCGGGGATGCGGGGTAGAGGCGGCCTCGGTTGAGGGCTACGCGATTGGATGATTCTATCGCATTCGGGTTTGAGTCGGACACGTATTTTGCGTGTTTGCATCGGGCTGAGGCTCAGTCGGATGCCACCCACGCGGTTTGAAATCGGAGCTGTGTTCAATCGGATGGGCCCGCGCGTTTTTGAAACCGACTGAACAATCAGTCGCGTGGTGCGTGCTCGATTGCGGATCGGAAGTCTGTCTAATCGCATGACTTGGGCGCGATTCTGCATCGGGGCGCCCTTCCCGAAATGACAACAGGAAGGGCTTTCCGACGTGAATTTCTTGGTGGTGCGTTGCGTTGATGAAGATACTGCTGCCACCGAAGATTGAACCTTGGTTTGATAACGCTGCATGAAATCTTCTATCTCTTGAGTCGTCTTCGGAGGTGAATTTGGACAGCCAATCGATTTTCCATCTGTTCCTTTATGAGTTAAATCATAAGGCTTGAGACAGCGATGACACATAGAACGAGCATGACAAAATTTAATAAAGGATCCAAAGGATAAACCATTTGGTAATGGAGGAAAAATTCGTTTAGCATCCGTTGCGTTGATGTCGACATCCATCGCGTTCGGGTCACGTGGAATTTGAACAACAGGAGGTGATGATATGGCTCTTTGCATCGTATTTGAAATGCCCAAAGAAGCGTGATTTGCGCTAACATGCATTACCTGTTCTGAAGCCATTAAAGCTACAGCTTGGCGTTCTTCCACCGTAGAACATTTGAACCAGTCCGGGTGTTTAAGAGCTCTATCCTTAACTTCCGGTCGTAATCCTGAAGTAAATAAATTTTTTAAAACCACTCCTGACAACTGAAGTTGAAAAGCCATCGAATTGAATCTTGAGATAAATTTACCAACATGCAACTTCCCTTGTTTGAAGGATTGTAGTTCCTGAAATAATCGTTCTTCAGCAAATTTGTCTCCAAACTTATTTAAGAATTCTTTGAAGAAATCCTTCAGGGATTTGAGAGTATCAATCGTAAAAGGAATAGGAGTAACTGAAAAATCTTCTGAGTCCAAAACTCCATTCTTACAATCATTTAGCTTTAAAAGACTCATCCACCAATCGTGTGGTCCTGACGAGATTGGAAAGTGTTTGGATACCCAAGTAATCCGGCGATCATCATTTGCGAAGCAAGCGGAATTGGCGAATAAGGCATCTCTTATCACACTGAGAAAACCCGGAACCTTACGCGGATCGGTTCCATCAAAAGAAACTCCCGGGAGAACAGGAGGCTCGACAGGAGGTTGGTTGTTGAAGTTAGGTAAAATTCTCTTCATGGTGTTGACTTCATCATCTAAAGCATCTAAACAAGTCTTCTTGACAGTAGCAATACCTTCATTTAAACAAGTATTTATTTTTGCTTCGATAGTATCTAAATTCAGCTTATCTTTGAACTCGTTTTGAATAGTAGTGAGGACGTCAGCTTTAGCTTGAATGATAGAAGTTCGAAATAAAGCCTCCACCTCTGCTTTAACTTGAGCGATAGAAGTTTGAAGTAATGACTCTATAGCCGCTGAAGCTGTGTCATTTCTAGCATTGATGACATCATTAACATTTGTATTGAAAGTGTCGAAACGTGGTTCCAAATACCGAGAAACAAATTGCTGTTCTTGCGATGAGAGTACGTATAACGCCGTTGGACTAGTAGGATGATGTTGAGGATGTTGAGACATGATTAAAAGATGTAAAAGAAAAATCGATAGATAATATAAGACGTGCTGAAACTTTAAAGAAAACTGTTTTAGATGTCTATAATAACTATCTGATAACCAACTAAAGGAGGAATTGAAAGGGTTAAAAAAATAAGAGAACGAGAAACACCACCACACAAAAGAAGATGATTGTATGACGTAATACCCCCAAATCAAGAAACTCGGAACTACCACTTCTAACAAAATTAATATGAACATTCGAAACTGCCGCAACCATGAAACATGTACACATTCAAATATATAACAAATAACTAAAAAATAACAAAATCCAAATAGACTGACTTTTGAAAAAACATTTATTATCATTACTATAGTAAAAAAAATAAAGTAACATATAGCGAAAAAGAAAAAGACTCTCGAAATTAATTTTAAAGATCGAATTATACTGTAAGGGCCTTGGTCTAGGGTCTCGAAATGCATAACTGCTTTATTCGAGATTTAACTCAGATTTGAAAGGTGACAAAATACGTTAATAATTCGATAAAGAAAAAGGAACTAAACATGAACATGAAACAACCTACAGTCATTTAAGAAGAGCTTGCCCCAAATTCCCCGCCAATTCGCTTGAGTTTTGCGGGCAATTTGGGGCAAGCTTTTCTTAAATGACTGTATATATACATATATCTTTCTACAAATGTTTCCTAACAACTACTTTCTACTAGCAACCTATTTCCAACTATTTCTTGATAACATCTAGCTAAGTTATTCCTTATTATCAAATGTTGAAATATCCTAATACGTATTTATCCTTATCCACATAACATTTATTTGAAATTAACTCTTAACAAATTCTTAACGAAATACATTTATTTAAGTCTTATTATGTAATTTCTAAATATATTTTAAATCATTACAAGGTGAGATGAGACAGTTGATGCTGGAAGCAGCTGTATGGTACATTCTATTCACTGCTTCGAGCAGTTGAATAAGGTACCCCGAGGTGTGACTGTCAATGATTAAGGAGAATTTGAGAAAGAAAGAAAGAGAACATGTCCAAAGGCTTACATACAAGTTACAAGCTTTGGTCTCGACTTTGTTGAGTTTTATAAATTAAGTATGTACAGTCGATTGCAGAAAGTTTGGAAACTTTTGCCCGCCAAACTTGAGCAAATTGGCGCGGAATTCTTTCCAAGCTTTGTGAAATTTAGCTTAACAAAGCCCTCTCTGCGCGGCCGCGTCCGCGCCCTCTTGACTGTACTTATGTCCATGGACAATCTCATCGGGCGACGGAAGGAGTCAGGACTCAGGACTCACCGGAGCTCGTTGACCTTATCATTCTATCACTACGTAAGTACATAGACGTACATATATGATATCACATTGATGTTGGCGTTTGAAGTTGAACACTTTGTCTCTTTTACATACTTTGTCTGTTCATAATAATTGACACGTCTAGACACGTCTTCCTTTCAACTTTTTGAATGCCGCTAAGCTTGTTGAACTTTTGTACCCGTGTGTGACTTCGGAATCCGGATAAGCTCTTTTATCAGAATCAGGGTTCATTCCTGTTCATTCACACATATGATCATGTACGGTGGCCTGGCCCTGTATCCTCCTGTATCATCATGATTCATGACACTTTGAAGGTACGTGTTTCTTCGAGGTGGGAAAACTTCCACAGATGCCAACTAGCAAATGACGGAGCTGAATACATTGTAGTGGAGTTATCATTGCCTGTCGTTGCCGATCGTTGCACACAGACTCACAGTCCCTTGAAGACTGAAGTAGTTTCATTTTCCGCACTCTCACTGGCCTTCAAGGTCCGAAAGCCCACAAAAGCTTTGAATAATCGCTACACGGGAGTGATTCCCATCAAAGAACAATCCGAAAAACGTCTGTCTTCGTCTTCGTCTCGTTTTACATTCCCATCTTCTGTTAGTTGAAAAATCGTCGATTTTCGCTGATTAAATTCGGAATGGGATGATTCAGCTTGACTTGAAGCCCACCTCCTACGATGAGCGGATTGAACTCCAACATTGCCCATGCTAATGCTGCGTGGGATCAATTGGACAGGATGTTGGCGCACGAAATTCATCCTTCCGCTAGTCCCGTTATGCATATAGCATTATATGCGATGGCCGGTATTGCTCCTCTGACCGGGTTGCTATTCCTTGTGGGTGGTTTGAAAAGGATAAGTAAAGGTGGACAAGATAGTCTCTGGCTCTTTCGGGTCGATGATCGCGGGTACATTCATCCAAATGCGATCTTCGTCGTTACGATTTGGGCTTGTCTCTTCACTGCTCGTCAGTCTTCAGTGCAATTCATTCGTGTTTTGCGGACGCTGACTCGTGGTATTATTCTTGACCTCAACATCATACGCATCTACTCAAGTCGACACGGCCGCGTTAGTCTGCTTACTTTTAAACCTTTCCACCTTTGTCAAGTGGTACACACTTGTTCTACACGTTATGAGTTTTCCTGTGATATTCTGTTTCGGTTAGTGCCTTTCCCCTCTTTCAAGTGACGACATTGGGTAATGATAGATTGACAATCTGTGTTCGCAACTGACTATTTGTGACAGGGTGGACCAAAGGTGAGGGAATCAATCCAGTTCACCAGGACTGTAACAGACTCTAATCTTTGATCAACTTTTGTGGCTTTTTCTCGGAAGTCTGGTGCTTCTCTTACGCTGCACCGCCTTCAGCTCTTTGTCTGGATAGTAAGCGTGCGAGCTCACCTACTCACCATCGTAAAATGGTCGGACCTTGGCTCTTTAACGTAGGCAACATTACGATGTATATGATTCCGTTCGCCTTCACCATACCACTGGCAATCTCGATTGCAAAGAAGCTGCGGGACGTAGAACTCTACTTTAACAAATATCAGGAGGCGCATCAATTACTGAAGAGTATACTTACAACGCCAGGCATATCTGAGATCTCACCGTCTGCGAAGCAACTCCAAGTAAAGATCTTGCTTGAGTTGAACACGCTCTCAAAATTGTCCAAGGAGATTTTGTTCATTGTGCGATGCATTGCTGGAGGTTATGCGATCCTCGATCTCATCTTCACCATTGGAGCCATTTGGACTACTTGGCGAATCATGCGTACACTATGGTCTCAAGTCGCAACCCTTCGTAGATGTGCTCAACGTAGGCGTGGTGATTGTAGCGCGATTCGTCCCACAAATAGTAAACTTTCAAGGCATGATATAGATCAAGATAATGCATCAACTTGTCCCATGCGCGCGATCTCTTCCTACTCAATACCTAGTATTTCATCTAATGGGAACCTATTACCATGGATGCCACCCTTCGCGAGAGGGACAGAAATTACAAGGTCAACCTGGACTTCGGGCGCGTGTCACGACAAACGCGAGGATTGGGAAAAATATGATGAATTTGTTTTGAGTCAGAAATATGCTTGCCTGAGCCGTTATGCGTCCAATGCACTATGGCAAGCAACGCTGATAGTCGTAACCTCTGCTTTATTCATGACCCTTGATATTTTCATTGGTGAGTTTCCAATTGATTTTCAAGCTGCGATATTCCGGTTGACTAAGCTATCGATACTCAACACAATATATCACATCTAGTCACAAATGCTATGGGAGTCCCTCATCGACATCGCCTCAGTGATCTCACTATGGTTGTTATAGTATGGGGCAACGTCATTTGGAATTGTGGGCTTGGGACGATTTTGGGGATTGTACGTGGCTTTTGTCTTTTTATCGAATCTCATGACTCACTTTATTGAGTGATCTGTTCATCCACTTGACTTGAAAATGCACAGATGTCATGCGTTGTGGCCTTCTCACCGACTCCCCAGGCTTTAGCAGAAGAAATCACTCTAGATAGATATGAGGGAAAAGCCGAATGTTTATCATAATTTCAATCCCAGCTATAAAGTTGTAGGAATATTATATTTTCTTATCATTTCAAACTTCTTGAATCCACTTTTTTATTTGACTGCGTTGTCCGATTCTGCTCACTGAATGGATACGCATGTCCCCGTCCCGTCTTGACTCTTTCACTCTCGATATGTTTTTATAGTCTATTTAGTACCAAATAAACCTGCTACAGGTATTCGCGTCTTGGTTCTCAAATAGACATTTCCGAGTTATTTCGTTTGAGACAAATGTACATAGACCATAGGGCCTGGCACCGATTTTCCTCATATTCGCGCTTGTTGTATGTTGCATGGAGCATACATGCATACCACTCCTGACATGGGAGTTCTTTCACTCCTTCAATTTGAAGTTCCTCTTCCGACGCTACAAAGATACCGCTTGCTCTGCTGGTGCTGACTCTGGCTTCCAATTTAGTTATCCTTGATGCCCTCCCGCGTGGCAGGGAGCCTGTCGAAAAGCGGCCGAAAGGATTAAACCCTCTCGATATGATGATAATGAGCTCCAAGCTGAAACCTTCAAAACAAAACAGATTGCTCCGATCACAAAGGAGGCCCGATCGGGAATTTCACCCCGGTCGATCGGCAGTCAATTGTCAACCGCCGCAGCCCGCGCTCTGGCCCGACTGATATAAAATTCCCACCTTCGGCTCACGCCTCTTTCGCCCCCTCTCTACAGACCCCTATCATCAATTTCGTCAGTCCAAAGACCACGGCTCATCGTATGCAACTCTCAAGAAGATGACCAGTTCATCTTTCTCATCTTCGCGACGGGGTTAAGGTCCGAGTCTTTAAGTCCTTCACATTTCAATGTGGCTTTAGCTCTCGAAGGGCTCACTTTTGTAACATCAAGTGGCGCGCATCATCAGAAATATCTCTCTAGACTTCTTTTCTTTCGACCCATCCACCTCCGTCGATTTTTCATCGATACAAAAAGACACCGAGGACGAAGGGAAGGGCAGTAGGATGTTTCAACGATACCGAAAGGTGGAGGATCGTCATCTCGCTTTTCTCATTCCAGGTTCTGAAAGGAGGGCGGCTGTAGATTGAAAAGTAGTCAGGAGATTGGGAAAGTTGCGTGGGGACAGCGAGGAGGGAATTTTCTATTTTCTCTTTTTGATTAAGTGCAATCCGTGGTTTGCAGTTTCATTCATTTGAACTGCAAAACTCAATTCGGACTACTCTTGGATCTGACGAAGCCTTCCGGGTTCATTTTCAATTTCTTGATTTTGAAAGATCGTGGGGGTTTAATGATGAACCAGTGACACAAACAAAGAATGTAGATTGTATATGGCTCATGTCTAAACTTTCTACATTCTTTGATTGCATTGCACTGACTTTCTGATGGAACCCTCTATAGGATTGGATATTGTTGAAACGTTGTTATCATTGTGTGCTTGTAGTGATAGTTGGCTTTCCAGATACAAAACATTGTCTACGTCTAGTTAATCAATTTCACATCATTTACAATTCCACTGCTCCCTTGCCTTCGACCCAATAGCTCGAACACATATTCAAATATGCCCATAGTGATACCTGAGCCAACAAAACTACTGAGCAATGTAGGTTTTAAACCCCTGAAGAAACCCATCATTCCACCCAGCCTGAGTGACAATCGCAATACCCTTCGTCTCCGTTTTACTAGCCAAATATCTTGTCTCATTGGCTGACTAGGTTTCTGTTGAGGAGGACGTGTCCATTGAGGTATAATCAAGTCCACAAAACCGTAAAGTCGCGTACGATGCGCGTTGGGTAACATCCCATGTTTCCCATCGCCATATATCTGCTTCACAATCTGAGCAACGGTGAGATTTTGAGCAACGGGAAAAGGCTTGTGAGGATTGAACGTTGTGTTTGTGGCTGCAAGGTGGGTCGCCTGGGATCCAGATGAGGTTTGATTACCTGAAGTGGCAAGCTTGTTGACCTGTAGCCTAGTTTTGATCTGGATCCGATGAAAGCATGATTTCAGACCAATGTAAGAGAAGAAGCAAAAAATCTAGACCAACGATGTCCAGTGGGTAGGGTAGTAGCGCAGAGATACTACCCGACAGCGCGCCAGCTAGCATGATTTGTGAAATTTCTTTTGGACTTCTGGAAGAGCTGAACTCGTCATTTGTGCCTCTCTGAACCGAATGACTACCCAGTAGGCCGCGGATGATCGCATCTGTTAAAGCGCCGAACCTCATGGTCAGCTCGAGGGTGCTGATCATAGCAGCATGCTTGGTAGATGACGCGATGCTGCAAAGATTTACTTACAACTCGTGAAAAATATCCCGCTACTGATCGAATCTCGAAAGCCAGTCATAAGTCCACCCAGATAAAAGCCTCGAAGACCGCTTTCGCGAAGAATTTTACGTGAGATCTCATATGAACCAAGTTTCACTCCGGTTGTCGGGTTGACATGTTCTGCTTGAGCTCGACACTTGATTACTTCAATCTAAAATATTGTTCAAACCTTTAACGTTCATCAGATTCATATCAATCTCAAGGCTCCGATTGTTCGTATGAGAGGTTCATTCCAAACGAACCGGAGTTTGTAAAAGAGCGCAACATCCACCAGCAAATGCACCCGATGCAAATACGTAGGGTAAATGCTCGGGCCGTTCCCGATCTTGACGAAACAACGACCTGATCGCTCAAAAAATTATATACCTATCTTCAATAATCAATCATTTGATGGCAGCGGCAAAAAATATCATAAGATGATTCTGGTACCAACATGCATTTTCCATAGGTGGCAAAGAAGAATGAGTCAATAAAAGCCAGCCCCAAAATCGGAGCCGCCGCCCCAGCAAATAGAAACCGGTAACCTTCCTGTCTCCAAAGCGCCCTCAAACCATTTAGAGTTGAGTTGAAGTGAGGTAGTTGTGTCGCAGAGTGCGAATGTGTGAGTGGGATGTTGCGGATCCCCGACTGGTTGGAAACATAATCCACAGGTGGTATAGAGTACTTCAATGCCAAGCTTGAATACTCATAATTTACACAATGATGAACGGGTGATGGTGAACGAGATAGTGCGAGGGAGGTGAGATCAGATGAGGTATGTGATGGGTTGGTTTGAAGTCGAACTTTGAGAACTTCGAGCGGATTTGAGATTAGAATTCCAGCTATCATCAAGAGTGCGTTCATCAGTCTCTGCCCTAAATACACGCTTTGGAATCGATTAGACACTCACCAGCTCCACCAATCCAACCAGCGATGACATCCTTGGTCGTTTCAGAATCGGCCATCCATTAATCGTCGATCAAACAAAGATTGCAAATAGAAAAACTTGCAAAACTAATTAAGCCAGGACGAATTTATACAATGACCCGATGCTCAGAATACCCGTGTATGCACTCGGGAGACCGATCTCACACTATGGCTGCTATGGCCTCGGGTCCGGGTTAATAGTAGTCAATCCCCGAAGGAAGACACAACTCTCAAAATATATAAAAGTAGTACATATGCCTAATTTCTTCATTTTCTTATTTTTATATGCCTTCATCTTTCTTTGTAAATTGTGTTTTGGGAGCTCTATTTGTGTCACTTTGTGTCTCCTGTGCAGGCTTAGAGCACCCACTATGGTGAGGGTGATTTATCGTAGATTTTGCGTTCCTGAGCGCGAAAATTAATCATGCGTGTTTTACCAAAGTTGGTAAACGCATGAAAACCACTATGGGATGAAGTAACACATGATTTACCAACGATATATCACTGTGAATTGACCTGATCCACAGTGGTATGATTTTGAAAGGAAATATCTTATTTGTCATAACTTTCATCCAAAAAACATCCATCAAATGCTTGCTCCGAGTTCTTCAAAAAACCAATTGATGCCCTTTTGGAGTCTTTGAATGACAATGATGAACAGTCGCATTATGGCCAAATGGTCTTTGACTTCTTGTTCGATAAAATTCAGTGTCACACACCTCCTCCACCTCCTCACTCTTGCATCCGAAAAGATCGAGATGCTCAAGTTGCTCAAGCTCAAATGTAAATTTCAAACGAGTGTACAACTTTATTCAAAAATGATTGAAGATTCAAATTCATAATTGATTTGGGGTTCAAAAGGCAGATGTGAAGTTCAAACTTTGAAGTTGAGGTTCGAAGTTTTGAACTTGAAGTTTGAGATTTGAGGATTGTAGTCGAGGTTTTGAAGTGTGGAAAACTGCAGTTTCAAGTTGATTTCCTACAATAAATCAAGTCGTAGGCTTGCGTAGATCTGAGCACGCGGGGTGCAAGATTTAACACAGCATTACGGACTGCATGTCTAAATCAGGTTGATAGTGAACCTGTGGGTATTTTAGCGTTACGGTAACGCTAAATCACCCACTTAGCGCAACCATAGTGGGTGCTCTTAGTAGTCCAGTGTAGTAGAAAACCCATAGGAAGTTGTAATAGTCCTCCACTTTACATACCCATACTTAGAGCATCCACTATCGTTGCAGTAAATTTTCAGTAAATTTACTGTACGTGTCTGTAAAGTACAGTGTCCGTACGTACAGAAATGCACAATTCCACTATCGTTGCAGTATATATATTCTGTACAGTACGTACTGTACAGAATGGACTCTTGTAATGATTATCAAATAGGAAGATGAGTTTTATCAGATAGTTTACAATATGTAATAAAATATGTATCAAATATATGTTAGATAAATCAAATGTGGTTTAGGAAACAGTTGTTAAGAAGAATAGTTGTTGAACTTATTACGAATAAGATTGTTAGATGTTATGTACATATCAAATTGTTAAATAGTATATATATATATGTGTGTTATACTTAGTTATGTTTCTTTTCTCTTTATCGAATTATTAAAGTATTTTCCCTCACTCAAATAAGTACTTAGAAAAGTAAATGAACTTTGCTAAGATACACCTGAGCCCTTACAGTATAATTCGATCATTAACCCTACTATTTTTTTTACTTGCATTACTTTTTCTTATTTTTTTCTTTTCGTTTAGTATCATATGTTTTCTTTTTATACTATGTGAATACTCTGTTTGTTTGTGTGTAGTGCATGTTTTTTTTATTACTCTTGCGGCATCTTTTCTACTGTCGGAAAATTTATTTGCGTATATACCGGATTTTCTGCATTTATTATTTTCAGGATGTTTCGGTCTAGTATATTTTGAGTTACCGAAATTATGGTTTTGTGTTTTTCTTTATGGCAGATTGTTTTTGCGAACCTTTTATTTCATTTATATTGCGGTATCATGTATTTTCTGTATATTTTTTTCAACATTTTGATTATCTTTGGCTCTTATTGGTATTGGGGAAAGTTGGGATATTCATATTTTTTCTTATCTTCACGGGATTCCCCTCTTTTCCGGTTTATCATTATATGAGGTCATAGACGTACTTTGGTTTACTTTTATGTGTTATATCACTTTACAGTTATGCTCCTGGATTACCACTTTCTATAGAGGTATTCTCTTTGTCATTTTATTCAATCAATCCATCAAATTTTTATTACAATTTATTACTGTTGGCGCTTATTCATCTCTTCCTGGCATGGCTTCTAGTTTTTCTACGGTGTCTGGCGACGTACCTATTCCTCTCTCTGATGACGAACAGTCTTTCGCCGATCGATATGTTCTTCCAACTCTCAGAGCTCTTCAAACGACTTTGGAAGGACGATTGGAAAGGTCGAATGTTGATACGGTAACCTTGTTTCGCGGTGAAATGGCGGCTCTTAGGGACGAGATAGCACGTTTGTCAACATCTTTTTCTGAAGTTTCGGTTGCTTTTCAAGAATGTATGAGGGTAAACAATTTCGATCAGCGCGTGGGTCATTGAATTTCGGATGCTTTATCTTTGATGCGCTCAGAACTCCAATCAACTACGGCAACATTACGACAGGAATCTACGGCTGTTCATGATGATGTTGTTTCCCAATTAAATGTTCAATTGGAGTCAGTTCGGTCTAATCAAGTAGCTCGTGTAGAGCCCCCTCCTATTGGCACTCTCTCTTTTACTGGAGAAGCTCGTAATGTGGATTGGTTCATTACTACCATCCGAGATGCGGTTATATCGCACAATAACTGTTTTCTTGACGACTCTCGCCGCATTCGATGGGTGGCTCGTCATTTTTTACCTAACACATCCCCTCAAGAATGGTGGATCAGTCTTTTGCGTGAAAATTCTAGAGAGCACAAGGTTGCTTTTAACCATAACTCTACCAATTTATCCTTCATCATCCCCAAGCTTGCTTCGTTGGATTCTTTTTTTGATCATATGGCAGAACATTTTGGTGATAAGTATTCCTCGATGACAATTCTTAAGGAATTACAATCTTTAAAACAAGGAAATCTTTCTCTGGTTCATTTCAACGCAAAATTCGACTCTCTGGCTTATCAGTTGAATTTGGATAACATAATCTTGAGAGATTACTACAACAACGCTCTGCGTTCTGATATCTTAACTCGTGCGATTCAACACCCAGATTGGGTAAAGGTGTCTACTCTCAAAGATGTGCAAGACTTGGCTTTATTGGCTTCGAAGCAAGTGTTGGATTTGAGTATGGTGCGAACCCCATCAAGTCAACAATTGGTTCAACAGTCCAGTCGTCCAGCTGCCCCTCAAGCTCCTTCTTGCCAGAATCCCGCCGTCATCATTCCTTTTGATCCAACAGCCATGCAGATCAATGTCAATGCTCAGTCTCATCGTGCGCCTCGTCCAACTCATGAGACCCCCACGCGTTGTGGAATAGGGTTTTATCGTCGCTTGTGTCAGCGAAGGACGCGTTGTTATCGTTGTCTAAAAACCTTTGATGCATCTCACAGGAATCAGGATGGATCCTTTACTTGCCCAAATCAAGGGGCTACATTGGCTGAAATGGATGCTTTTGTATTGGAATGTCAAGCCAATCAAACCAATCAATCACCTTCGTCCCAACCGATATCGGCAGTGAATTCCACTTTATCCAACCAACCTGTTTGACAATCAGTGCAACGTCCGCCATCGAATCCCTTGAATCCTCGTCGCCAGAATCAACCTCTTCAACGACAAAATTTTGGGTTTGATCAGGCGCCACTTCAATTCCAGGAGTCGTTGTTATTGGCTTTCCCGCCGGTTCAAGGAAATGCTTCTGGTGGGCCGCATCCTCCTGTTCATGATGTATCAGCATTGTTTCATGAATATCACAACCTAAATCTTCCTGGTTCTGATGACGCGGTAGAGTTTTTGTCTTCACAACCTATGTTTGGTTATGTAGATGATGAGATTCATGTTACGAATCAAGCTTCAGCCATCGCTTTTCATGGAGAAGACGGGACCGATTCACGGCTTATTCTGTCTGTATTGTTGAGTTGTGGTACAAAGTTTTATTTGGCACGAGCGTTGATCGACTCTGGCGCCTCGAAAAGTTTTTTGGACAAAGCTTTTGTCCTCAGACATCAACTTAATTCGACCCTTCGACCCTTTCCAATCACTTGTGTCACTTTTGATGGTTCCAGTGGGAAGGATGGGTTGGTAACCCATGAATGGGACGGCCATTTGTTTTTGAAAGGTTTGCATGAGGACCATGCGTTTCAGTCTTCTGTATCTTTGGATATCACCACTTTGGGCGGCTATGATGTGATTCTCGGTGTTGATTGGTTAAAACTTCATGATGGTTGGGTTGGAGGCACGGGTCCGTCTTTAAGATTGGACAAGCCTTTGGATGTGTGTGGAAAACCTTTGATTGGTAAATGTCCCCCTATTCGCTGTTCAACGTTTTCTTGGAATTCTTCACCTTTTCAACATCTTCAAGCTTCTTCCACCTCTTCTATACCAAATCTTCCTGTTCAGTTCATCAAGTATGCTGATGTCTTCAAAAAACAGGAAGCGTCTTCCTTACCACCACATCAAGAGGGTTATGATATGGCGATCAATTTGAAACCTGGTGCTGTTCCTACTTTTGGTGGGTCCTATTTGTTGGGAAGCGTTGAACAACAAGAGCTAAGAACTTGGATCAATGATCAACTCTCGCAGGGGAATATCCGACCTTCTTCTTCTTCTGCGGCTTCACCTATTTTTTTTCTGAAGGTACCGGGGAAGGTGAATCGTCCTTGTGTTGATTATAGGTCTTTGAATTCGATGACGGTTCAAGACAGTTTTCCAATCCTGTTGATGGGGGATCTTCTTACTCGAATTACGGGGTGTAGATATTTTACTAAATTAGAATTGAAATCCGCTTTTAATTTTAGACGTATTAGGGAAGGGGATGAATGGAAGACGGCTTTTAGGACTCCTTGGGGGTTATATGAATGCTTAGTGATGTTGTTTGGATTAGCCAACGGTCCGGCTTGTTTTCAACGTTTTATCCAATCTGTTCTTTCCGAATTTTTAGGAGTTTCATGTTTTGTTTACATCGACGATATACTTATTTTCTCAAAATCGTATGATGAACACACTACTCATGTTTCTCAAATCCTTCAATGTCTTCAAGATTCTGAATTGGTTGTTTCTCCAGATAAGTGTCAATTTTATGCCAATGAAGTAACCTTTTTAGGTTTTGTGATCTCTGTTGATGGTTTGAAGATGGATCCGAAGAAACTAAGCACCATTGCAGAATGGCCTTATCCTACTACAGCCGTTCCTTGATTGGTTGCTTCGCTAACATTTTTTTTTTTCGATTTTTCAACATTTTCAACAAACTTGACATTTTTTTTTCTTTCGTAATCGGCTTCTCTTAGGTCTTAGATACCTCCTACAGTTCTTGAATAGTCTCTGGGAGAGTTGTAGTGCCACAATAAGGGCTTGTAACAATGAGTTTTCTATATTAGTGTCAATAATGCTTAAGACTTCTGTAGAGCATTAGCCTTATAGTGTTTCAGTGACATCACCGAGTATGTTAATACTGTCTTGACCAAACCACCAATCTCATCGGTGATGCTCTAAACCGTTCTCATTGAACCCATCATTCCTCTACCTCACCCAATCATGGTCTATGTATATTACTCATCTCAAATCAAGTGGCTTGTGGTCCGACACACCCTCAATGGACTGACACGCGACCAAATTGAAGAAGAGATTGGCATTGATGTATCCAGTGACTCTATTAAACAATGGATCTCTCTATTTCACACCACTGGGGCTGTCATCTCTGATCCGGCATTTCATCTCACTCCTGGCTGTGGAACTAAGCTTACAGAAGCCGGCCAACGCTGTGCACTCGAATTACTCAGGATCGATCCAACCTTATTCCTTGACGAAATTGCTCGTGGCATTGAAGAACGGACTGGTATTGTGATATCAAAGTCGGCACTTGCGATTGACCTCCGTGATCGACTCAACGTCACTCGCAAAGTTACTCGTACTGTTCATCCAAATCAATCGCCTGAGCTTCGCGCTCAATTCTTGTATGATATGAGTAGAATTCCAGCAGAGTGTTTGATCTTCACTGGTTTGTTTTTTTTCTATTTTATCTCCTGCATCTATGTACAGATGATTCTGACATATTTGATTATTTTTAGACGAGAGCTCTATCAGCAAGCGATGATTATATCGCCAATATGCAAGAGCACCTCGTGGTGAACGTACAGCTAGACTTCCAAGACAGACTGCATCAAGACGATACAGCTTACTGCCAGCTATCTCGCTCAGTGGTTTGGTTGCCTTGAAAGTTATAGAAGGGTCAATCAAGCGAGGAGATTTTGAATCTTTTCTTGCTGATCAAGTGGTAAGTCTCTTGTTTTTGTTTTTTGTTTGTTCAATATTGATGTTTCTTGGATCCAAAAAGCTTCCAATGACAAACCCGTTTCCTGGACCAAACTCAGTCCTTGTCCTCGATAACGCCAGCATACACCACAATGGAGAAATCAGAGAAATGTGCAGTGAGTATGGTGTTTATGTGGTTCACCTACCACCATACTCTCCAGATTACAACCCAATCGAGATGGGTTTTGGAATATCCAAAGACCATCTTCGCCGATCAGGAGTCTTGATACCAGACTTGACTCCTGAAGAAGAGATTGAACAGATCTACTTCATAGCAGAAGAAGTGTTTACTCCTGAGATGATCTATGGTCTTTATGAAGGATCGGTCTGGCTATAAAGGTCAGCAACTTATTTTCTCTGATTGATTTATTTTTTTTGACTTGAACTCATATAACTTGTGATACTTTTAAGAATTGTGATAGGATATCAACCAGATGTATGAATCGATCCATTGCTTGATTGTTCATTCAATTTATTTTGTCTTACGATTCATATCTGGTGTCAATTAGTCTTTGGGTGAGGATGTCCATGTGTAATACAATATTCATAGCCACAAAATTAAAGCAAACAGTTTTGTTTCAATAACAATGATCACTGAACCTCCATAGAGTAAGATGTGATCGTGAAGATAAAAAATGTGGACATTGATTGTCCCATATAGACCATGCAGAAGAAAGAGTTCCTCGTTTGAGTAGTAGGTTTGGAAACTGCTCTAGACAACTGAGGGATCATTGAGTTAAAAATATCTTGAAACGATTTTGTAGTTTGATTTTCAAAAAAAGGGTCTCAGACAATGATCAAACCCAAAATCAAACACAGAATTGTATGTTACATTTTGAAACCAATACACAATCATAGAAATGAACAAATGAAGCATTGTAAAATAAAATGTATAATAATAACTACAGCGGTTTGATTGGATCATACATCAATTGGTCGGAAACTTCCAAATTCAATGTTTCCAAGAATATAAGGTTGGAAACGAGTGGAACCACTTATGAGCTTGATAGCTGCACCGAGAGAAAACCCCAACCCTTGGAGTTTGTCTTCACTCATGTTACTCGAGACAATGAAGGTGGACCAATGGTCCAGACCTAATTCAGAGAGAAGGTCGCGGGTTTTGGTGTCAGGGGTAGAAATTCGAGAGAATTTCAGGAAGTCATTAAATGTCCCGCAAAAATGTTTTAGAAACATTCTGTGATCTAGTTGATTTGGTACTGTTGATGTTGAGGGCAAGGCTTGAGGGATGGTGCTGTCGGTGTTAAGATGGTTTATAATTGGTACAGTTGACGTTGATGCTTGAGGTGGGGCAAAGCTTGGGTGATCTTCATGGAGGGCCTTAACTCCAGCTGGTTCGCGTCCACCTATGTATGTTTTGAACATAGGAGTTTTAGGAGGTATAAATAAAGTTACATCATTGCGACCATTGCGACGAGCCTCTATCTATTCAGTGCAGTAAATAATGTTAATTATACAGATGATTTCTGCGAGAAGTTGAAAAATATTGAAATACTACTCACCATGTCATCTGCCCATTTTGAAAGCCGAGTGATGTTCAATCGAACCCATTTTGTAGAATCTAATGGATCAATATATCTCATTTGTTCAGAGCCCCCCTTTTTTCCACTTTTATACTGCGTCATCAAGCATTCTATTGTGCCAGAGTGGAGGTTAGGGTCGTCGAGGGAAGGAAGTTGCTTCATAGTCTTTTGAGAAGGATCCTCTTCTAGCTGGCCAGCCAAAGAGTTCAGGTGGTTGATCTGATTCTGAAACTGTTCGGTATCTTTCTCAATCGATTCCGGATTCTCCATTCTGACCATAAGACCTAATGAGTGGTCCCGTTTCAAGCTTAACGCCACATCAACAAACTCCTCCCAGCCGCTCTCGGTATCAACATCGTATTCACTGAGACCCTTCTTTGGTTTGTAATCAATACCTATCCAGTGAAGATTCCAGCGGGGCTTATGATCGAAAATATAGACAGCCATTGGCTTTATTCGATTTTCAATGATTTGGGTGGCTTGATGCTTAACCCTTTCCGAGGACGTGGAGACAATGTCAATGGTGAAGGAGTTTTCAGCACATCGACCACCTTGCGGCCCCAGGGCAGGAACCCACTCGTGATCGTTGACCGGAGTTTGAATTGGACCTTTTTTCTTTTGCTTCTTAGCAGCTTTTGGTTCCTTTGACTGCCTCAAGTAGGCTTCATACGAGGCAAAGATGACTACAGTATTCTTCTTGTTTTCTTCAGACAAATTCTCGCTATCACCTTTAGACACAGATTACTATTGCACATCAGTAAATCTGATATATATTTGGTTTACAAGCATCATTTATTCAAGTATAAATGCTGCTGACCTTCTTTTTCTTGCAACTGATTCCCTTTAGCCTTTCCTTTAGCCTTCCCTTTAGCCTTCCCTTTAGCCTTCCCTCTAGCATCCTTTGTTGACTTTGTTGTGAGTGGAGCACAGAGGATGATTGAATCTTCAGATAAACCTAGATTTGATTCTTGAGATGAGCCACGAATTGAATCTTCAAATACATCTCCAAAGAACTCTTCAATTGGATCTTCGGTTGCATGACGAGTTGGAGATCGAAATCGAGATGGAGATGGAGATGGAGATGGAGATCAAAATCGAAATGGAGATCGAGATGGAGATCGAAATCGAGATGGAGATCGAAATCGAGATGGTCAAGAAGGAGAAGGTTGAAAAGGAGTTGGAAAACGAGCTCGAGGACGGTTCAGAGTTGGAGGAGTTGGAAAGGGAGTTGGGCCACGATTCATAGAATGAATCAAACCAGTAGGAGACCGAACCAAATGATGAGTTGGAGAATGAATGAAAGGACCAGTTGGTGCACGAGCTGTAGAACAAATAAAATGACGGTTCTTGGAATAAATTGAAGGATGGATTGGAGTCGGAGTTGGCAATTGGATTGGAGAGGGAGATGGAAAAGGAGTTGGGCCACGATTCATAGAATGAAAACCAGTTGGAGAACCAACCAAAGGACGAGTTAGCGCACCAGCTTTAGAATGAATAAGAGGACGATTCTTGGAATAATTTGAAGGACCAGTTGCAGAACGAGTTGGAGAACGATTCAGACGCAGAGTAGGAGAACCGCCCAAAGCACAAAGTGGTGGGCGAAATGGAGCAAGTACCAAACGTTGAGATGAAGGGCAAGTAGGTTTGTGAGTTGGAATGCGAGTTGGAATGCGAGTTGGAATGCGAGTTGGAATACTACTTTGAGAACCCTTGAAAGGCAAACCCCGAGTCTGCTTTTGTGGAATTTTTACATCAATTGATAGAGGGCCATCTATTTGATTGACTTGAGAATCAGTCGATAGCTTAGAATTATCTACAGCCGTCTCTGAGTTGCTAGAAGGATCCAACGTAAGAGAGGGGTTTGGAGATGTTAAGGAGAATTTGGTCCAATTATCTGGCTCTTCAATATCGTCACTATGAGGTCGAAAAGGCCTATTGGCATCATCAGTTGATGCATCCGATTCCAGTTCATCGTATTCTTGGTTGTACACATGATAGGGGTCATCCGAGTTTGTATTATCGCATGGTGAATGCGGATATTGTGTGATCAAAGAAGTATCAAGCCCCAATGTTGATGTTTTCATTACTGATTGCGGAGTTGACAAAACTACACCTGAAGATCGCTGAGCTAGATCATAAGCTGTTTCAAATCCAGCTTGAGAGGATTGAGTAACTGGACCTTTGACATCTCTACAAGGATTTGATTGCTGTCCGAGTTTGACTTGACCCCCATAAACTGTTGGAAGCTTGGACGATGATGATGCACTGTAAACATCATTCAACTTCCCCAATTTGGCAGAGGAAAATGATTAATAGTACAGTTTTTCATAAAAGAATCTAATACTGCACACCTGGGCCATTTCACCCACACTACATATGTGCAGCAAGCTAAGTCAATAGTTGTCTATCATGTACATACAGGTCTGCTCAGTTTTTTGCCCATCAGAATAAATAAATCACATGTTATACCACATGTAACTTTTTCGACTTTGAAATTTTTTTCCCAAAAATTCACTACATATAATTCTGTAGCTGCTCAGGCAATATTGTTGAAGCTATGTCTTAGTAACAGAAAGTGTGTTACATGCAGTTGAGTTGATGAGATCACACCAAAACATTGAGTCAGTGTATGTAGTCAATCTTTTGGAAGCTTTTTTCAATCTGAAAGAAGTTACAGCATGTATTACATATGAATAACTTGTCCTGATGAGCAGATAACTGAGCAGAACTGTATGTACATGATAACCACATATTCACTGAGCCTGCTACACATATGTAGTGTGGGTGTTATGGCTCAGGTGTGGAGTGATAGACCATTTTATGACAAATCATACTCCCAATCATTTTTCCCTGCCCACTTGGGGAACCCGAATAATGTCTGCAGTGTCAACCCTCAAAAAATAGTTTGTACAACAATCCCAGAGCCTATCTGAGTACTGTAGGCTGTGCTCAAGACATACTACTACTTACTTACAAAAGAAAAAAAAATGTAAAATTTGTTGAAAATGTTGAAAAAAAGTTGTAAGAAAAGCAACCAATCAAGGAACGGCTGTAACTCTAAACAGTTGTATCGTTTTTTAGGTTTTACAAATTTTTACAGGCGTTTTATTTATCACTTTTCATCTATTTCTGCTCCTTTGACAGCTTTGACGCGTAATGGGGTGAATGTGGTTGATGGTCTCACGGACTCTAAGTGTATTTCAGCTTTTAATTCTTTGCTAAAAGCATTTACCTCTGCTCTCACATTTTGATTTTTCCAAACCTAGATCTTTGCAGGTGGACTGCTCGGGTTTTGCCATGGCAGCCATATTGTTGCAACCTGATGCAGGAGGAAATCTTCTTCCGGTCTCTTTTTTTTCACGCAAGTTGACTCCTTCAGAAAAGAACTGGCAAGTTCACGATCAAGAACTGGGTGTTATTGTGGAATCATTTGGGGAATGGCGAGCTTGGCTCACAGGTACCAAAACACCTGTCACTGTTTTTTCAGATCATGCTAACCTTCGATACTTTATGACATCGCAGAAGTTAACACCCAGGCAGGCTCGTTGGGCTTCGTATTTGACTCAGTTTCACTTTTCTATTTTACACACCCCAGGCAAGATTAACCCCGCAGACCCACTTTCTTGAAGACCTGATTATGAGGCTTTTTCATCGGACGTATCCAGGATGACCCTCCTGAAACCATATATGTTAAAAGAGGGGGTCACGGTTTGTTCGATTGACACGTCTTTTTCTATTCCCTCTCCTGAGACAAGGAGTTTGTTGATGAACTCTTATGCAGGAGTGGAAGAACTCGTCAAACCTCCTCCTATCTTTTCTTTTGGAGGTGGTCTTTGGTGGTTCAGGGACCGATTGTATGTTCCAGAATCGCTTCGAGCTCAGATTCTTTTGTCGTTTCATGATGATCCTTCTATTGGTCATCCTGGAATAGCGCATATGCTAAGTATCATCACTCGCACGTTTGGCTGGAAAACAATTTGTCAGGATGTCATCAACTTTGTGAAAAGTTGCTCTTCTTGTCAAAGAGTGAAGAGATCTACTCAGGTGCAGCAAGGGAATTTGATACCTTCTGCTATCCCGGATCGTCCCTGGAGTACAATTGGGATTGACTTTATAGTCAAACTTCCTATCTCCTCAGGATGTGATTTGATATTGGTTATCACTGATCATTATTTGAAGGGGGCACATTTCATCCCTTGTAGGGAATCTATGAGTGCGCCACAGTTGGCTTCTTTGTTCATATCTCAGTTTTTTTGCTATCATGGGTACCCGGATAAGATTGTGTCGGATAGAGGTGCGACGTTTGTTTCAACCTTTTGGAAGGCAGTCCAGTTGCAGTTACGAATTTATCCTGCACCGTCTACAGCGTATCATCCGCAGACTAACGGGCAGACGGAACGCACTAATCAGACTTTGGAGTCATATCTACAACATTTTATTAGTTATCGTCAAGAGGACTGGTGTGAATGGTTGCCGATGGCAGAATTTTGTTTTAATAATACACCTTCCTCTTCTACCAAGCTTTCTCCTTTCTTTTCATGGCAGGGTTTTCATCCTAGAGCTAACAGCTTCACTGAAATTTCCAAGGTTCCGCATGCAGACCAGTTCGTCGAACATTTGGAAGCAACTCATTTGAATTTATTGGTTTCTTTAAAACATGCCAAGGAACAACAAGCTAAGTTTTATACTTCACACCGAAGACAAGGCCAGAAATATTCTAAAGGAGATTTGGTTTGGTTGTCCAGGCAGAATATCACGAGTACAAGACCATCACGAAAGTTGGATTATAGGAGGATAGGCCCGTTTCCAGTGGAGGAGATGATTGGTGAAAATGCGGTAAAACTTAATTTGGGACGTGCATATTCCAGATTACATCCAGTTTTTAATATTTCATTGATATCGCCATATATTGATCCGTCAGTAGGAGGAAGGCAAATGGTAGCTCACGAGAATGTTTCTGTTCAACCTTTAGTTCCACTTAGAGACTGGAGACAGGTTTTGGCGATTTTGGATTATAGGAAGAAAGGAAATGCAGCACCGGAATATTTGGTCAGATGGGCGGGAAGGCCTTTTTCAGATGACACGTGGATTCCATTGACGGATATTTCATCAGACTTAGATCTCTTTATTTTAACATTTCATCATAAATATCCCCAATTTCCAACGCCAAAGAACATTTCATGGGAAAGATATGAATCTGGATATCAAGCAGCAATACCTTTTTAGAAGTTATTTAAGAAATAAATAAAATTTTACCCCAGACGGAAATTATTATTGTAATGATTATCAAATAGGAAGATGAGTTTTATCAGATAGTTTACAATATGTAATAAAGTATGTATCAAATATATGTTAGATAAATCAAATGTGGTTTAGGAAACAGTTGTTAAGAAGAATAGTTGTTGAACTTATTACGAATAAGATTGTTAGATGTTATGTACATATCAAATTGTTAAATAGTATATATATATATGTGTGTTATACTTAGTTATGTTTCTTTTCTCTTTATCGAATTATTAAAGTATTTTCCCTCACTCAAATAAGTACTTAGAAAAGTAAATGAACTTTGCTAAGATACACCTGAGCCCTTACAACTCTGTTCCACTATCGTGTGCTCTGTGAACAGTCTGCAAATCTCAAAACATCGAGTTTTGACATTTAGTTGTTGCTCAGTATGGGTTGAGTTTCAAAAGCATTGTTTTCATAGTGATTGCTCCAAAATAATCGATTGGAGAATCGTCAATTTGAGAACAATTGATTGAAAAAACCTAGAGATTGGAAAACGATCGATTGGAAAGCGATCGATTTCAAAACAAACGATTTAAAAGAAAGACTTGAAAACACATGATTTGAAAACAGGGGGACTTCATAGAACTGATGATGAGCAGTAACAAGATATGATAGGTATGCAAGGAAAGAGGTTCTCCAATGCTCATGTTGAGAGTCAGAATGAGAAGTTTGGTGTGTGTATGCGGATTGAGAGCATAAAAAGTGAAGTATAGTCGGACTTTGAATTTTGGGAGTGATGGTGTGGTGTGCAGCTCGGTAAAAGTCCAGTGCTTTTGCAGATACCGATTTGGTAGAGGTCCAGCAAATTTGCTTGACCTCTACCGATTTTCGAGTGATTCTGTAGGTACAGATCTGTATCTTGGACACGATTGGGGATTTCGAGGCTCGGTATGGTAAATTTCAGCAAAATTTACCATACCGAGGCCATTTACAGAGACGATAGTGGATGCTCTTAGTCAGTTAGAGCATCCGCACTGGTTTGCGGTTGTTAACTTGATCACGCACGGTAACAAACCCTACTTTAAGTAAAAAATTACTTAACTCGACTAAATTCCCCACTCGTTTGCATTAGCAGTGCTGTAACTGTTACAACTTTACAGATAATGCATGTGCTCCACACGGGTCATGCAGTAAGGTAACATTTTGATTTTTCAAGTACTAATCACCTGCTTTCATCACAAGTGTTAATATGATAGAGCCACTGTCCGCTTCTTTGGAGGACTGAAGTTGCTTTCACATTCTCCATCTACATAGATCCAATACTTGTTCATCTACCTGATCAGCAATTTTGATTTAAAAGGACAAAGTCAACATGACTTTGTTCAGCAACTCAATCGATCAATTCAAGTTCAAAAACCAAACGCTTGACTACATTGATCAAGCCTTTAATGAGTCTGAATACATGCAATTATGATCTTGTGAAAATATTAAAGATTCAAAGTTAAAAAAGAAAAATCGACAATCTGAACGATCTGAACAAATCCAAACTTTTCTTAATGATTTGTATCACTTGATCTTGAAAGTCCCCTATGATTAGTCTTTGAATGTTGATTTTCTTTCATTTGAACTGTACATGCTATATGAATGTTGACATTCTACATATTCATCTGATTGGTATGAAGTCAAGTTGAAGATATCTGATCGAGCTATTTTAATTAAAAAACACCAAAAATTGAAGATTGAAACAACATGAATCAGCATTGATTGTTCTTGATTTAGTTCATGTGACTGTGAGGCTTGGATTTCATCGTGTGTGGAAGGTGAATGTGGAAGGTGAAAAGGAGGTGTGGGTTGA